CCTCCTTTGTCCCCCACCCCAGGGATTGAGGCCAGGGCTATTCATGACAGACAAGCAGCTCTACTGCTGTGATATTCCCAGTTCATTTTGAAGTTGGAAGCAAGGCCTCTCTCTGAAGCTCAGGCTAGACCCAAACTCTCAATCTTCTGCCTCAGTGTTGGGATCACAGGTGTGTTCCATCATTCCCGGCCAGTCTCTCCTTTTTAACTGAAGCTGTGTACCATTCACGTTTAGCATGATTGTTCCTATAGTACATGCAAACTCTGGTGCTGTTTCTCATGTGTCCCGCCTGCTTCCCCGCCCCCACTCCATTTCTAATTGTTTTATCTGTTCTGTTACCTCATTAATTTTTTTTTTTTTTTTGGTCTTTTGAGACAGGGTCTCCCTGTAGCCCCAGCTGTCCTGGAACTCACTATGTAGACCAGGCTGGCCTCGAACTCACAGAGATCCGCCTGCCTCTGCCTCCCAAGTGCTGGGATTAAAGGCGTGTGCCACCACGCCCGGCTGCCTCATTAATTTTTAAAAAATATTTCTTATTTTTATTTTATGTGTATAAGTGTATTGCCTGCAGGTATGTAAGTGCACCCATGTCATGCAATGCCTGCAGAGGTCAGAAAAAGGCATTGGAGCCCCTGGAACTGGAGTTACAGATGGTTGTTAGCTGCCATGTGGGTGCTGGGAATTGAACCTAGGTTGTCTGCAAGAGTAGTCAGTGCTCTTAACCACTGAGCCATCTCTGCAGCCCTACCTCATTAATTTCTTTTCCTTTTTTTTTTCTTTTGGTCTTTTTGAGACAGGGTCTCCCTGTAGCCCCAGCTGACCTGGAACTCTCTGTGCAGACCAGGCTGGCCTTGAACTCAGAGATCCACCTGCCTCTCTCTCCCAAATGCTGGGACTAAAAGTGTGTGCCACCACACCTGGCTCTCACTGATTTAAAAAAAAATTATCAGGTTATTTTGTGTGCATGTGTGTATATGTGTGAGTGCATGCATATCATGATGCACACATGGAAGTCAGAAGGCAACCTGCAGGAGCCGGTTCTCTCCTTCCACCATGTGGGTTGCTGGTATCCAGCTCAAGTCATCAGGCTTGGTGGTAAGCAACTTTACCCACTCAGCCATCTTGGTAGTCCCTGCCTCATTAATTATAACTCCTAAATCTCACCAGATTAATCAGTATTTCTGGTTCTTCTTCCCCCTGTAGATGCAGGTCTCCATCTAGTATGGTGTTCTGTTGAGGACTTGGCCTTTGCTGCTCTTGTAACGAAGGCTTGCTAGATGGCCTCTTTCAGCCTTTGTATGTCGGGAAGCACCTTGAATCTGCTTTCCTTCTTGAGAACTGTCTTCCCCTTGTAGAATCCTGGTTCTTTCTCAGTGTTGCCCAGTTGCTAGCTACTCTATCATCTTCCCAGTTGCACTGTCTGTGATAAGAGGTCCCCTGTCCTCTGTACCTCTGTCTCCAGTATCCCTAGACTCTGATTGTTTTTAAGATTTCCACTTGATGGGCCGGGCATGGTAGCCCACGCCTTTAATCCCAGCACTCAGGAGGCAGGCAGATCTCTGTGAGTTCGAGGCCAGCCTGGTCTACATAGTGAGTTCCAGGACAGCTGGGGCTACAGGGAGATCCTGTCTCAAAAAAACAAAGTCCTCTTTATCACTGGTTTGTACAGTTGACGACGATGTGACTGGGCCCTTTGCTGCGGGGTTCTCACACGTGGGGTTCGTTTTGGAACCTTTTCACTGTTATGTCTTCCAGTAGTGTCTCTGTCACTGCGGTCACTACCCATCTATGAGACTGCGTTAAAAGCCTGTTGTTTTCTGACTCCCTCCCTCCTTCCCTTCTTTTTTCTCTTTTTCTTTTTTTTTTTTTTTTTTTTTTTTTTTTTTTTTTTTTTTTTTTTTTAGGCAGGATCTTGCAGTGTAGCCCTGGCTGGCATGGATCTCACTATTATGTATGTTAGGCTGGCCTTGAACTTGCAGCAAACCATCCTTCCTCTACCTCCTGAGTGCTGGGATTGCTGGTGTGAGCCACCACAACTGGCAACATTACAGTTTTCATCTCGTTTTTTCCTTCTGTGTCACTGCTAAGCACAAGAACACTGTCACACTTTTGTTCCCCCACCCCTTCTCGTCTTTTGAGATGACAGGGTCTCATGTAGTCCAGGTTATCCTTAAACTCTCTTTGTAGTTGAGGATGGCCTTGAGCATGTCATGATTGTGCCTCCACCTCCTGAGTACTGGGATTACCACCCGGCTTCTAATAATCTTCCTCATGCCCTTGATTGCTAATTCCAACACCTGTGTCATCCTGGGTCAGTTTCTACCAATTAATTTTTCTCCTTATACACTGTACTTTCCCGCATTCTTTGCGTGCCTGGTAATCTTTGATTGAATGCCAGACATTTTTGAATTCCTATAAATATTCTTGAGCCTTTGTTCTGGAGCAGAGTTAAGTTACTTGAGATGGTTTAATCCTTTTGGTCTTGTTCTCATGATTTGTTAGGTCTGGAGGAAAGCTCTATCCAGTACCAGTTCTTCCCCAATACTAAAGCAAGGCTCTTCTGAGATCCCTGCCGGTCTCTGGTGACTTCTGAGTCTCTCTACCTGGAGAGTGAGGTGCCTGGGTAGGGTCAAGCCATCCCCAGTCTTGTGAGTCTCAGGCTCTGTTCCCTTGAGTTCTTTCCACAGCCTCATGGTGCCTTCTTGAATGTGTGTGTTAAGCTGTGTTTTGCCATACCCAAGACCTACAGTGTCCCTTCTCTCTCCTTCCCCAGATGTCCAGCTCTTTTTCATCAGCTGAGAGAATTTGCTAGGAAGCCTCAAGGATCTGAGTGGACCCTTTCCATTGCTGCCTCAAGGCAGAGCCCAACTAGGGTCTGCCAGTTTGCCTAAGCTTAGCCTCAGTTTGCAGAACTGGTTGCTTCCCAAGTTATGTGTGAGGCAGGAAGCAGCTCAGAGCTCCACACTAGGTCTAGGAGCTCAGGACTGTCACCCTACTTCATCCCACTCACCTGCCCATCACTGGCACAGCTGTCCTGCCTCCATCCACAGCACCTAAGATGTTCCCCATATGTTGGCCAAGACTCCACCCTGCTGGATCCTCTAGGTGTGGCCGGGTGGTCAGCTCCACCACCTCTACCTGCCCCAGCCGGGCCCGATGGGTCTGTGCTCAATGGCTCAGAGAGACCATGCTGCCCAGTCCTCAGTCCCTGTGCTCCAGAGCTACCTAGGCCTGGAACACCTGGCCATTCAGTGGGTGTGTCCACTCGGCAGATGTTCTCTAGGCATCAGCACTGTGCCTGGCCCTGTGGGAGATGGGGAGTGAGGTGCCTGGGGAGAAGGGTGAGTAAAACTGAGTCTTAGCCCAGGTCAAGGTGAATGAGCACTGATGTCCACCCAGGAACAAGCACTGTGATGGAAGCGGGCCTTGCCACAGGCACCCCATGCCCCTGACAGTCCCAGGGCAAGTTCAGCATGGTGACCCATGAACCAGTCAGGGAGAGACCCTCCCAGAGCATGTAAGCAATTGACCAGTGCAAGATCAGCCAAGCAGAGCCCCAGAGCTGGAGATTCGGTCCCAGGGTTCAAGGTGGACAGACAGATATAAAGGGAAAAAGGAGGCCCCAGAAGTGCCAAGGCCAGGAGGAGTCCTCTGCCGGGCACAGAGCCAAGGAAGGAAAGCAGGGCCCCTCCAAGTAGCCAACCAAAGCTGAATGTAGTCCACTGTGTTATAAATAGGACACTACATGCCCCCCACCAAGCAGAGCTCCAGGGTGGGGCCCAGGTACATCCCTGGCCAGGATTTACCATTCTTCACACAATCTAAAGGACACATATCCTGGTTTCTTCCTTTGGAAGGCGAGAGTGGCCGGGTCCTGAAGATCTCAGCAGGAGTCAGATATGTGCAGCTCCCCGCATACTCTGAGGTCAGCTTTTTCAAGATGGATGAAGACCATCAGGAGACACCCATCCAGACACCATTGTAAGGATGATGTCTCTCACTGGGCGCATGGACTGGAGGGAGGCCCCGTGGCTCCCTCACCCAAGCTCTCCTTGCCCTATACTACAACTGGTGCAGGCCTAGGACACAGTGTCAAGCAGCCAGAGCTGGAAGGGTAGAAATGAAATCAGGCAGAGTGTCAGGGAGTAGAGGGCTGGAGAAAGCCACATGCCTGTTGATCCCCAGGTACAGGAGCCTATTGACTAGACCTTCTCCCTAGGCTCCTTTTTCCCTAGCCCAGCAGGCGTTTCAGGGTGACTCACATGGCCCACCAAGTATGGTCAAACAGTGTTCCTTGAATGTCTTGCCTAGGCCAAGTCCCAGAGTCCAGGGTCAGGACATGCCATCCAGGGTGTAGGCTGCCTCTGCCCTGCCTTCTGCCTACTCCAGCCCCTGGCTCCTACCTCTGCCCCCTTGCTGTACCCCTCAAACCACTATATGGTGCTTGTTGTCTCTTTCCCAGTGGGTTCCAGTGCATTTCTTATCCTCTGTCCTTTGCCACATCCTGCGGACTGGAACCCAGGTCTAGTGTGGAAGGTGCCAGAGCCAACCTACCACTCTCCAAGGGAGATCTGGAGCAGGCACTGGACAACCAGGGAGACACCCCCAGCATCCTGCCTGGTGAGTGGAGTTAAACCACCTGGTGGTGGGCCACACAAGCAGTCAGGAGTATACAAGGTGACAGAGTGCTCAGAACTGGGGTGGGAGGGAGACAAGGCCACCCTTGCAGATGGGGCACAGTGAATCTGGGAGAAACGAAGCCTAGGGAAGACCGGACCCAGGCCTGAGCCACTGTCAGCAAAGAGCCAACATAACCCCCTCTTCACAAGTCCAGCAGTGAACTACCCATCCTGGGTGATTCATGGGGAAGTGGAGCTACCCATCCCGGGTGATCCTGTGGCCCATACAGACCCAGCAGCCATGGAGGATAAATGGCCCTGGGCTGGCAGAGGCTGTAGGACCCCAGCCTAAGCTCAGCTATACAGTTGGCTTTGTTGGTCTGTGGCCCTTCTGGCTTGTTCCACCTCACATGTGTTTGGCTCACATTTCTTCATGAAGATGTGGTTCCCTACCCCCAGGTCAGGCAGGTAGACCTGCACCCCAAAGAGTACACAACCAGATTTACAGCGGGTCATTGGGGAATTATCCATGCAAGCAGGTGCTGAGCTCAGGAGCTGAATCCAAGTTTAATCACTGCAGTTTATTGTGCCTGGTTTTATTAAGTCCTCTTACACCTCAACACATCATAAATACTCAGCTTGCATCTTAATGTGGCAACAGGGACAAACTTGATGGCCTTTGTGTTAACACAGGCATCTGATCGAGCTGGGTGCTGGAGACCCAGCAGGCAGGCTAGGTGCCACTAGGGGCCATGTGGCCTCATGTATCTTCTTGTGGTCTCCTTGCTGTGGCTCGGCACCCTGATCCTTCTAGTCTCTGAACAGGAGTGAGAAATTTCAGTAAGAGGGTGAGTCTCTCAGGCAAATCTATACACCCTGTGTTTGGGAGCCTGTGGCCACTTTTTGACTTGGGATTGACAGTCAGGATCCCTAGTTCTGGACCTGGCTCTTGAGACACAGACTGCAGACTTTAGATCACTGAAAAAGCATATCCCAGAATCCCAGACCTGATCTGATTTAGTCGTTTTTTTTTTTTTTTTTTTTTTTTTTTTTTTTGGCTTCTACAAGGGATTGAACATAAGACCTCGTGCATACAGGTCAAAGCTCTACCACTGAGATACACCCCCAGCAATTACACGTCATGCCTGAGACCAAGTGCAGATGGGGCAAGAGTTAAGACCCTCATTGCCCTCCACTAAGTGTTCAAAGCTTGGGTCAGGTTCTGTTGTTGGTTGCTTGGTTGGTTGGTTTTTCGAGACAGAGTCTTACTATGTACGCAGAGAGGCAGCTTCTTACTGCAGCTTCCCTGATGCTGGGTCATGGACATTTCCACCATGTGACTGCCATGGAAGTGGAGTCCTGCTTCAGCCTCTTCTGGCCTCACAAACCACACACAGCACCAAGTAGATTCCCTTCTTTGGGACTTGCACACAGGTGACTATACAGTCAGGCCACTACCCTGAAGTGTCCATTTAGGCCTGAACCCCCTACACGTGGCTCCCCCACAGAGTGGTCCACAGCCCTTTCTTGCTTCCCACCTGACCCAACTATTAAGCCCGAGAACCTTTGAGCAGGCATTGGGCAGGGACGACCCCTCCCTCCCCGGCTCCTCTCTTCTTCAGATGCCCCAACCCCTATAGGCTGGAGGGTCCCTGCACCCTGACTCTACCCCTTCTGCCCCTGGATGTGAAGCCTGTGGCCCCTAACACATGTCACTCATCCTCTTGTCAGGTGTCTCCTGACCTGAGCAGCTTGAGTTCAGGTTCCCCATGGGCTGTTCTGCCTATCAGTGGTGCCTAAGCTCCCGTGAGCCTCCTAAGACTCACACTGAATCTTCAGAGGCCCTATGGGGCCTCACAGTCCTCCAAGGCCCTCCCGAAAGCTCCCAGTGGCACATGGCAGAAGAGGGCAGGAAAGACAAAAGGGCAGCAGTTCGGGGTCTCAGTAGCATAGGTCTTTGGGGATTCCTGGCTCCTTGACCCTCAAGAAGCCCTACCAGCTGGTAGCCAGAGGCCCCCAGAGTATGATGACTCTGCCTTTCCAAGGGCAGCAAACATCTCTGACAGAATGAGGACTTGTCCAAACAGCCATCCTGAGAAGAGCAGCAAAGGCTGTGGACCCTCCCATGGGAACAAGGCTGGGGCGGAGTCTCACATTCTTTCCTTGTGGGGCAGGTTGTAGGCCCCACAGGACAACCAGACCCTGTATACCCTGAACAGAAGCCAAGCTTTTCTGGCCTCGGGGGCTGTGGATACAGGGGATCCTGGAAAGGGATCTGGCCCATCTCTGCCTTTGTCTGCCCCCACCTCAGTCACAGGAGCAATTTCATGCCACATCGGCAGAATGCTTCTCATATTTTTTCGTAAAAATACTCACTAAAGCCGGGTGTGGTGGCACATGCCCTTAATCCCAGCACTATAGTGGCAGAGGCAGGCGGATCTTTGTGAGTTCGAGGCCAGCCTGATCTACATAATGAGTTCCAGGACAGCTGGGGCTACAAGGAGACCCTGTCTCAAAAAGACAAAAAAAAAAAAAAAAAAAAAAAAAAAAAAAAAACTCACTAGGCACCATGCCTTTCACTTAGAGAGACTTTGAGAACCAAGCACTGAGGTCTCAATGGAAAACAGGCCCCAGAAAACAGAACTTGCTGCTCCACACTGCCGAGAATGCGCCTGCTCCGTCTTCCACAAGTGGCTCCACAGCATCTGGTCCTTGTGTGGTGCTGTTATCATAGGGGGACACAGGCTCCCAAGGGCCTCCAGCGTGCCCAGCAGTTAACTCAAGAGCCAGGCCCAGGTGCCTTCTGGCCCTACGGGGTGTGCATCATCTTGGTGTCTAACCACAGGGAGTCTGGGTCTACCATCAGAAGAACCACAAGGCTTTGAACCTGACATTGGGAGTCTGATGCTGACCTTAGCTGAACCCAGGGCCTTGTGCATGCTATGCAAGCACTCTACCACTAAGCTCCTTCTCCCATCACTGTTCCGGTTGGATCTCCTCAAGGGCTAGCCAGCACCCCAGACCCAACTGTGAGGTCCATTTCCCTGTTGCTTCTAGCTGAGTTCAGCCTGTTTCTTCATCTATAAAATAAGGACAGCAGCCTCGCCTCCTAGGGCATTCAGGTCACACACTGGCCCCTACCCCAGCCTGTGCAGGTAGAGCTAGGGTGGAAGCAGGGCCACCCCAGAGGGTTCAACCCAGTTAAATCCAAACTGAGCCAAAGTAACAGACCAAGGTTCGGGGAAATGGCTTGCTGCCTATTTCCACTTCTCTTAAAACTCTCCTGCCCAGTACTCTCCTGTGGCAGGTGTCTTTAGTTTGTCTTTTCATCTGTCTCAGCTGATAGGGCGGAAGGCCCAGAAGTTGCCCCTGGGTAGGTCGTTCCAGGCCCTTGGACCGCACCGGAGGCTGACCTGCTCACTGGGCAAGAGCCCCACAATTCCCACCCTCCTGCTGGAGCCCTTCAGCCCCCAGAACCAAGCACCAGAATGTGTCCCTTAGAAACACTCCAACTGAAGTCAACTCTCCCGATGCCATTTGATGTGTGTTTGAGCCCTGGCAGGAAAGTACAAAGGGCCAGGCTGAGAGGAACAGCCAGGACCCCGGGAAGGCACTTCTCTCGCCAGCCAGTGATAGGCAAAGTGGAGCACAGCCTTCCCCTCATTTCATAAGTCTTAGCCTTCTCCTTCCTGGGATCCCAATTCTGCCCCCTCACACACTCTGCCCCCCATACACTGCCCCAGGGACCCCAGGGGTGCTTGGAGGGGCCCCACCTGGCACCTCTAGTTGCCCACCTGTGTCCCACTCTGACCTTGAGCCCCTTTGGAGGATGAGGGGCCCTCTGGCCATGTGTCTTTCCCCGACAAGCATTCTGCAGAGTCCTTAAGTCACTACAGAAGTTCAGCTTTGTTTCGAGGGACTGAGTCCACCCACCAGCAAGAGCAAAGTCTGAACAAAGCCCCTTCTGCCAGATAGCTAAAGCCTGAGGTATCAGTATAGGACAGAAAGCCCAAGTCAAGGACTGGACTTCCCAGGAAGAGCCCCTGTCTGGATCAACAGGATGGAGGCAGCTTGGGGAGACATGCTTCAAGGACTCAAACCCCACATAGATGACACATGCCCAGCTGTGCTAGAGACCCCAGCCAGAGAGGGGCACTGCAGTCCTGAAGGAAAGCAACAAGAGAATGGAACTCCAGGACAGTCCCCACATGTCCAGGGAAAGTGAACCAGGAATTCTGTCCTTAGAGAAGACTTCAGTATTCTCAAAACAACCAAGCAGAACCCTTGGCTATCCTGCTGCTATGCCTGACGGGGGCGCTGTGCTGGCTTACTGGGTTCTTCGTGCCAGCGTCCCTCCCTTTCAGGCAGACCCTAGCTAAGAGCCTGTGAGGCCTGTCAGTGCTGAGGGAAGGAAGAACTTGGCAATGTGAGGTTCCCCTGAGACCATCGTGGTCCTTCCCAAGCTTTCCACTGGTTTCACTGCTGCGGTAGAAGCAGCAGGCTGCATACCACTAGTTCGACTGCAGCTGGCAAGCCATCATCCCCATGGTCCCGGGGAGTGAAGAGGCTAGGTTGCAGGCTGTGTGGGGGTCACAAGTGGGACCACCTCTGGCACAGATGCAGGGAGGGAAGCATGCTCTCTGGTTCCCTAGGTTTAGCCTGACGCAGTGGCTGAGCGTCTTCTCTGATGTCGTCTATACTGGATGCATGGGTGGGGTAGCCTGACAAAATTTCTACTTGGCAGAGATGCCCAGTGTTCATTCCCCTTCCTCTCGTACCAGAGCCTAATCTTGGTAGGCACATTGTGTTCACCTGTGTGGCCTGGCATGGTTGTGTGACTAAGTCCTGCCTCTCCTTCCTGCCAGTAGCATGCAGCATGATATCTGGAGCTTATGTAGCTTGCTAGGACCAAGACCCAGTAAGTGAACATGGCAGTATCAGACAGGACAGGAACAGGGGCCTCGTGGTCTCTGGCTGTGCTTGGTGTTTCGTATGTGAGAG